AAAGCATCCTGAATCAAGCTGAAATATCGAAAGAATGACTTCTCAATCACAATTCGAAGAGATCGAAAAAGTTTGACTTGGCTAATTCCAGTTCTACAAGAGTTACCGGTCCCTGAAACCCGCCAACACAAGAGTGTTGGACGTCAGTTTGGCGGCCCATGAGTCAGTCCAGGCCTGAGCCGCAGGATTATTGTCTGGTGTTCAAATATTGATAAAAGGGGCAGCTTCAGCCCTGGAATCGGCACACGTCGATGGTGATGGAGGGTTTTATAGAGCTGGGATTAATCTGGGTTCGGTAATTAGGTCTGGAGAAATCCAGGGTCTTCAGATCAATGGGGCTGTCTTAGGCAGTCTGGAGCCCACTCTGAAGGGGTCAGCTCACTTCTCTGACGAGCGCTCGCAGGGACCTGATTTGTTAGGTAGAGATGGTTACTGGTATCAAGCGCTAAGGAAGTTCTGTTTGAAGTCTTGGTGCCTTGATCATGAAGGGAGTAGGGGAGGTAGTTTTGTAAGATTCGCCTTCCTTTGCAGAAAGTGTATCAACAACTTTTTATGGGTTTGTCCCTCCGTACATTTTACCCATTCTTTGGCCCTCTCTATCACCTTAAAGACGTTAGAAGGCTTGGGAAAATGAGACTTGATAGAGCTTGATGAGGGTTACCTTCCGCATTTAATGGCATCGGGAAAGAAGAATACAGCCACGCAGCGTCAGAAAAAGCGACGCCACCTGCTCTATTCATTTCCTAACTTGACATTTACCAAGAACGCCGACTAGCGACTGGTATAAAACGTGCAACGTTCTCGTTTCATGCAACAGATATATTCTTCACGGATGGCGGCGTTTATTTCTTGAAGATGAACAAATTGTGTCTATAAAAGAAACATTCCTTTTAAAAAGTACTTTGCATTTCTTTTAAATTTTCTGTGATCACTTGTGAAGGCGATCCACCTGTTTCCCACCCATTGCTACCCACTGATGTAGAACCGTGTGAAGAGATTATATAAACACATCGTACTGTCCAATATGTGTACAACACACGGCTTAGTCCGTGAACTCTCGGAGTGATGTGTTTGTTGAAGAAACATTTGTTCCATTCTTTCCACCAAGGATAAGCTTACTTTACCAGGAAGAGCCTTAAGAAGATGTTCCAGGACAGAAGTAACATGTAGCATTGCTCGCTGTATGTTTATATCTGCAAGATATCTGAATATTAGAAACTTAAGCTGAGTGTCAATACTAATATATTTACTTTTCCTTCACACTATTTGAAAAGATGTGTGGGCTATGGGACACTTGAGACTATGCCGCATAGATTTAGCAAAGGTCATTGACTGAACACGGCCCCGTGAGAAGACACTCCAGGCGAACAGGTGTGACGACAGGGCGCATCTTCATAACAAAACAAACGTTATCCAACATAACCATACAGAGTCTTTATTGACTCGACAGAAGTACGAGGACTTTCATGAGTCAACTCTCGGAGATTATTCTCATTACTTAAGAACTTGAATACCCTCATTTCGTCTTTTCTATCTGTCGGTTCATATATCCATTCGTTTCCAATATCACCTGCTAGCATGGCCATAAGCCTACTCGTAAATTGTCCCATAGTCATGCAGTGCAAAGACTAGAAGGTGACATATTGATCATTTATCTCACCGTACATTGCACAGGTGATAGCATTAGAGAGAAGAACACCTCTGGTCACAAATAAAGCGGCCTTTGTTTCCGAGCTCGAGATAAGCGGGGAGTTTTTTATTATTCCCCACTGAGGAGAACCGGTTTTCCCGCCCCAAACACCGGGTCTAATTGCACAGCAAAGACCCCTGTGTAACATATGGAGATTTAAGAATCAAAATGTACTTTTGTATGGACGCCATTTTCCTTTCCTGTTTACCTTTCTTTAAAGATTGCAACCATGTAAAGAGTTTGTTCTTTTAATTTTCTTACCAAGTCTTGAAGGTTAGATTATGTGCTAGTAGAGTTCGTTCTTAAAGTCACGAGAAAGCGCAAGAAGTATATGTTCCAGACGTCATGATTGTAGATTTTTGGTCGATTTCCTATACCTTATCACCTGTGGTCAGGTGTGTTCTCCCCACATAATCCAGGTAGGACGATAAGATACCACCAGGTGCGCCAGGATGAACGGTGAGATGACCAAATAGACAGAACGATGCAGGGAGGAATTCTCCCCGGAGCGAGAGAAGGCTTAGGTGCCAATTATGTGGCCATAAGATCGGATTCCTCAGCACTTTCCCTACTCATGGATCATAACGTGACAGCTGCCAGGTACAGGCAGGGCAAAATGTATCCATAGGTCTATGTCAGGACAGGAAGAAAAGACATGGGTTTATTCGATAAACCACCTCTATGGTGTTTTAAAGGACAATAATAATAATATACACAATGATGGGGAGGGGAGCAAAGTTTCAATTCTCCATGGTAAGATACATGTACCTGTCAAAGATTACGAAAATGTCCGTTTTTGTTTACAATGAAAGCAGCAGAAACACATATGCACTCGTGTACGATTATTACTAAGAGGCAATAAAGCGCTATACGGAAGATAGGCGAATGAGTATATGATACAGATTTAAAGTACTAGAATAAGTACTCAATTTGAAATTGGGATCATGCTATCGCGAGTTTATAATATCCCGTCTCAGGACGAAGAACCTTGAGCCATTTCCTGTTCCTGTCTGTACACACAAAGGTCAGACTGCCTTTGCTAATTATGTCGGTCGACAACTCGTATATAATGCTTCTGTGGAGGTCTCGGAGAGATTAGATCTCGAACAAACTGTTGTGACAGTCACACTTTCTCCAAACAAAATACCTGATCACTATGCAGATATTGTAACAATAACATGGACGTTTTCTCTTCTGTTGGCTGTATTTCTGTGGTTCTGAAAACCCTAGACATTTTTTTAATGTGACGACCCGACCACACACGCTTAAGGTCATGGGCGGTGAATAACAAAGGTTTGCCGTGCGTTTTTGTACGATACATGTCAGACGTTCACATAAAAAAACTGAACTGCCTGGAGCGATATGAAGTTCCCACCACCCACTCTACTTTTTTTTAGTAAAAGTCTACGAATTATGTATGAAAACCTGGGGTTAGATTATGAATCTATCAAAACTTCCTGAGAGTCAGGTCCTCTTTACCGTTGAACCGTTTTTGAGTCGATCTTATCCACGATGCCGCTATGCCAGAAGCTGAATACTAATTCTTCCTCAGCTGACAAACAAACTACAATATTTATGTTTCTGATCCCTCTAAGTCGTCCAGCCTGTGACGCAAAGTCGGTTATCTGGCTTTGATGGATCCCATTGTGAAACGTTGTTTAGTTTTGCGAAGATAAAATATTCCATTTTAACACTTGTACAATGGCTTTATACCGATAGATAGCCCAACATGTCAGAGTAAGACTAGTATTTGTAGGCGTGACAACCCGTGGGAAGCGCAGACATGTGTGACGGTCACAGTGCTAACCATCCCGCTCACATGTAAAAGTACGCCACCACCACCCGGCTCACGGCAGTACATTCAAGGTGCGGAGGAATTAGCGGTTTACCACACGTCCTGTCACGTGGCTTCACTACCCGCGGAATACCGGATATCTGGCTACATGATCCTGAACGTGCTCCCTTAGCTTTTCTATTCTAAAAGGGATTTTGCGAAAATAGTTATCAAATATTAAGGATGTGATACAAACATGCTGCCGGGAGGAGGGAGATGTTTACACTGAGGGATTCTTTTTTAAAAAGATGCTATGGGACAAATGCGCCATGATATTTTCAAATGTAACATTATTATTACTCTAATGTAAAATGTGTCTAATACACATAAGCCATTTTCAGTTTGTCAGAAATGTTTTTTTAAACATGTAAACAGACAATTGTTTTTTCCTGGCCCAAGAACGGGACGTGCCACCTGTACGGGACAGGCTGACAGGGATATTGTCCAGCCAAGAAGCAGGGGTTAAAGGTCACCGTACCAATTTCACAGTCCACCTGAAAAGGGGGACATCATCAACATTGGGGACATTTTCACATTATCATAGAAAAAAAACCCGTCACGACTGCAGTGAATTCTTCGCACGTTGATTGCTGTGATTTTCGCCATTACATTTCTTTGACAAGATTATGATTTTAAATAATCAGCCGTGTTTATGATTATACGTTTGTTTAACAGCTCTAAATAAGACTCCTAGTAAATGATATCGATGCTGACTGGTGTTTTGTGGTAAGAAATATTGTTCACGGCTGTAGTTATGCTGACGTAATACCCCAGACATGATTAATCACACAAACCGTTCGTTCCGATCACAATAAAAAAAGTCCCATGCGAGCTTTTTTGAGTCACCTGTACTCATCACATATCGTCTCCGAGGAGAACTTGACTAAAACGTTATTATTTCCTGCCGATGATATGTCATAAATATCACCTGATGTTCTGTAACTACAACTAGTAATGTCTATTTTGTCCCGAATTATCGTTTCATTCTTTTAAAACGAGATTCGATGCTAAAGTTTTCTCCTCTAGTTCGGCCACAGTGGTTGTGAATCGGATATGCTTGAATAAATGTCAGACGTTTCAGACCTCTAAGTGTAAAACAATACAAAAACATGCGTTCTAGAGACAACCAATTCGGAATTAGTTACTTAAAGCACTTGGTGGATTTATTTCCATGAGAATATGTGATTTGTCACTTCAGCTCGTTAGAAACAGGAACAGGACCACGGACAAAATAGCACAAAGACGGTGCAATCACGGACACTTATAGGACAATTACAGGTCATTCTATTGTGCTCCTGTTTGTTGCGGAGCGTCTTTACAGTACAGGATACACACAGGACACAGGACTGTACTAGCTCTACATGGCCGGGACTAATTCCCACCGCAATGACGTTGTACCGGCGGTGCTACATGACTAACATCCCATCATAACACACCACGGAAGCCGTTCCCCGGGCACGGCGTTGTTCTCTGCCATTCCTGCCGCGTCCCACAGCAGCTTGTGCCCGGCGGGCGTTTTTCACTTGACTCGGCACAACCCGCGCGCACCAACAATACCGGTGTGACCCGGGGGCACGTCCCAGTCAGAGCGACATCTCCCGCGGATTCTGGTTAGATCAGTTCTGGCCGCGGCCGCGACGCCGCTCTCCCATTCTCTCGCGCAGCTTTTCGAGTTTCTCATCTCGGTACTCGGTGAGACGTTCACCAGAACGCGACTTGAGGACGTTAACGACCATTCCAGGCGGTTTAACGAGCACTGCGGAGCCGCCAGGAGCCATGTTTACGCCGCTGCTGAGCGGACTGGTGACGCTGTTCTGTGTCGGGGCTGCAGTCGGGCTCGACCCAGGTGAGCTACATGTAGTTCCCCATCATTATCTCTACCCTAATCCAGGTGTGGCATTCCTTAAGCGCTTAAGACGCCAGGATCCTTAAAAATTAGATCCAGCGAGATGACAACATAGCTAGTCTTGGATACAATCGCCTTTGTTACCGTGTAGGGTTCGAACGGGGGACACATGCCATGAATACCCAATGTTTTCCCTGCCTCTCCGCCGGACCAAACGTGATTACTGACTTCTAAAGAACGACACAAAACAAGACACGGTTTCCTGTGCGCCCACGGCGCAGGTCGTCACACCTGGATGTGTGGTAGACTACTGTGCCAGGTATACAGGAGTAGAGAGACAGTACGTCTTTCGTACGTCGTTAAGATATATCCATTCGGATAGACTAAAGTGTCGTGCAAACCGACCAGGTTCTCAATAGTTAACTAGCTCGCAGGAAACACAGCGCAATGATCAGCAAGTCGTAGCTGCATGGAATGTAACCAAAACACTCCGTTTACAATATTGTGAAATTGAATATTACATTGTATTTGCGATCAATCTGCAAAACTTAGTAGGACAAATGAGTTTAAAGCCAATCCGTGGTAAAGTTAACAAGTTGTCCAGGCCGCCCCGTCCATTTTGGCTGTCTAGCCTCCATTTGCAGGTTTCGCATGGCCGACTTCTGAAGGTATAATTAGAGTTACTCTCTATTATACCGTGCACACCGGACCATAACCCGACTTCATCGTGTGAAAACTGAGCTGTAAAACCACATACTGGCGAGCCGTATTGTCCCGATGTAGGGAGCCTCCAGCTCGTAAAACTGATTCAGTCTTTCAGTGTAAGTAAAAAGTAGAAAGACAATCAATCTATCGCTTTTAACTCAAAGTTACGTAACCATCGGCTAGATGTAGATTATAGTCATGACCTATCTTGAAGTACATCATAAATTCGGAAGAACAAAAAACATGGCACAGCAGTTATTGAACACCCTTAAGACTCATAATCAAGGAGCATCAAATCGTCTTCGACTGTTCCCTTTTCTCCCTCCGTACCTGGGTTTTCTCTGACATGTGCAGCGCTCACGAAAAGCGCACAAAACTGTAACGCATGTATTGTACACGTAACCCGGGTACTCCCCTAACTTCTGTGCATGCCAAGGCCGGGCTTTTTTTTTGTCTGGAATTTTAGTTCGTTCTGCGTGACGGGCTTTGTTGTGTATCTCTTTCTGTAATCTTTCTTTGTCATGAAAATTGTGTGGAGGGTACGCCGTACACGGAGTCAATGAAATTCTCGGTCCAATGATTTATGTGGGTCTCTTTCATCAGGGCACAAGGGGCGCCCAGCTAAGAAGGGAAGAATAAACGGCAACGATTTACAACAAGAAAAAAATCTTTGAATTCTGGTGGCCGCCCTCCAAAGCAAGCCATGGCCTCGATTCAAACAAGATTAGCCGGCAACAACGGCTCCTGTTGTTTGGGCTTTCTTGAGACTAAACTGTGGTGCAGTGCTTCGGCATGCAAGGCACGCATGGGGGCGCTTCTTATGAGCGATCTGTGTGGTTCTACAAACTTTGAATTTGTTTCATTGTCCTAGTATCAAGTAGGACTCGTCTTTTCCTTATCAAAGAAGCGTTTGTCTCTTTTTTTCGACACGACTCAGTGTAAAGAGAGGGGGCAGGGTGTGACGATAGTGAAAATAAGGGAGATACGCACTATCCTTCCCGTCAACTCAACAAAGTTTGTAACAGAAATCAATGTAAAATATATTATGTAGATGACCTTGGATGTCGCATTCTCTTCTTAATTTATTTTGGCGATACATATATCATACATGTAATAGACATAAATGTGAGTACCAGTAACTTTACCATCTGAGCCAACTGATTATTCCTCTGGATACCAACAATATTTAGTACCTCATACGCCCTCCCCTCGCCATCTAATCATGCATACGATATTTTCCCACCGCTGTTAATAAAGTTTCCCCGTCTCCATACCAGACCTTGGCCCCGTGCCAGCCCTTCAAGGCCGCCCGACAGAGGTTCGCCCTACTTGCCTAATGAACTTAGCCCCGTCCCTTTCAACTCCACAGGCAATATTAGTACTGAGGGCACCTTTGTCATGACTGGTTGGTTTTCTATGGAGTTGGGGTCAGTGTAACATTGCTCCTGGATAGGTAGAATTAAAAACAAACCCACACAGCACATTTTGTGGCATTCTGGTCTTGCTATAGCTAGCCCCACAAATTTCAAAGTGAACATTTCACCACTCAGCAGTTACGTTCGACCGTTAGAGTTCATAATAGATTCTTTGGTAACTTTATTCACACAACCACATCAGAGACAAGCTTAAGGCATCATAGCACCATTGATACGTACGTCGGTGAAGGTTAGACATCCAGGTAATACGATACGCCAAAAAGCAGTTACTCAAGCAACTGGATATGATTTTGAAAACGTCAAATTGATACGTACGTTACACACATTTTAAGTACAGATTTACAACAATGACTAGTTTACGAAATTTAAACTGAAGATTTACAGGAATAAGTGGTTGCAAAACTTAAACTACATACAGATTTACAGCAATAAGTGGTTACAGTACTTAAATCTACAGATTTACAGCAATGAGATGTGCAAAACAGAATATGAAATCTTGCTAGCGTAAGAGTTGATAACAGATGCCGATAGGAACGTCCCTGTGTTTTAGTTGTGTGGATAACGCCACTCCCGTTCCCAGGTCGGGTGTTCCTTGCCGAGTCCTCTGACGGCAGGTACGGGATCGACTTCTGGACTGCCGACAACTTCTGCACCCAAACCTACGGCAACCCCGTCAAGACAGCCACGTTTGACGAGCTGAAACTCACCTGGGAACAAGGACTGGATCTATGCAGGTACTTACGTCACATGCTGTCATGTTAGCTCGACAGAGGCAAATGCTTCTCATATTTTTGAATTCAAATTCGTAAATCAGATTTGCCATAAAGCTATTCGTTTAGTTTAGAAGGTAGTGGCAGACTGATAGTCAACTATCATTTTCATGTTAATCTCTAATGACCGCAACCTGCTCACAGAGCATGAAATAAAAACGCACAAAACAATAAAAGAAGAAAAGTCAAACTATCGACGAATGGCCACACTCGAGCCTCAACATGGTTGCTACGGCACTTTTTGTGCGGTCAATAAAGCTTCTCTCTCTCTTCTCTTCTCTCTCTCTTCTCTCTCTCCCCCTCTCTCTGCTACCTGTTCCTGCCCGTTCCGCAGACATGGCTGGTTGAATGACGGGACGGTGGCCCAGCCCACACACTTCTCCCGCCGCGGATGTACGGACAGGGGCGTCACCCGCCTCAGCAGCCACCAGTGGAGCGAGAAGTTCGACGTCTGGTGCGTCGTGGACAGGAAGACTCGTGAGTCCTCGTTTCCTCTTCTATATTTAACAACAAGACAGAACACGACTTATGCAGGGTCAAAAACGATTTTCAAAGCAAGGTTCACAAGGTGAAACAAAGGAAAATCATTTCCACCAATTTCATTTAGAAGACAATACAACAATAGACCAATGTCCAAGAAACTATCAAACCAACCAACAACCAGCAAAGGACAATAAATTGATGGATGATTTCCATCCATCAGTCCGGTTCCTTCAAATGTCGCCTTTCTGATTGTACCTTTGGGTAAAATGTCTTCTGCACATTCTTGAGATTACAGAGAGCCTGGAGCGAAGACTTTAATGATAGTATTTGTTAAGACCTGTCCAGAATAAGGGTTAACAGTCGAACTAAGCATGCTGCATGAGCTAATTTGCCTTTGCTTTTTTTTTTTAGTGTTTTCGGCTCGACGTGGGTGTATTTTTGTAGCCTACGGAAACATTTCCACTAGATTACTGTAAAATCTACGCTTGTTTCGTTATCAGCACAAAACTAAACAAATAAACAAACCAAACAACAACATTCACTGCATATAAAGGGCTTACTCACTGGCTGTAATACCAGGGATTGTTGAAAAGTTAGAAGTTTATAGATTGTTGGAATATCGTGAAAAATCGTCGCAGATGGAGGGACCTTTATGTAAGTTTTCCCCATTGTCCTGTGGAATGTGAGGTGGGAGGATAATGAGAGACCTGGCGCCTCCTGGGGAAGTATTACCTGTTCGGCAGGACATCACCATTATCCACTTCTGGTGCGCAGTAAGGCGTGACGCGAACCGGAACAGGTGGATATCAGAAGTGCTTAGTCAGATATTTGTAGTCTAATTTTTTTGTTAGTTGTGTATCAGTTCCTTGGATACCATTATTCTTGGGTATAGCGCGATGCTCATCGGCCACGTACTAGAGAAGTAATAAACAAACAAACTGTTATCAGGACTGTTATCGACGTTCTGCACGGACGGTTTCTGTCCCTTCCTCCCCAATATGTGAAACTTTTCTCAAACTTAAAACGCGCTTCAACGTCAGCAGCACTGCTGTATTGCTTTCAGCAATTTCTCTTGACCCATTATCCTTGTAGTTTGCACTCATTCTGTCGCACAGTTCGCCTAAATCGGAAGCTGCCATTATGGCAATCCAATTGTCTCTGTGCTTCTTCCTTTTCCAACGGCGCTGAAAAGGCCAGGCAACTACATCCGTGTCCTGAGGAAGAAAATAAAAAGCGCTCTCTATTATTATAGACCGACTGAATTACACCTGGCACGAACAACACGCATGGATAAAAAGCGACCTCTAGTAGTCCATTACAGAACTGTAGCTCCCATTTGCCCAGATGGCTACATTGATTGCTGCAGTATTTCTCTTCACCGTTAGAAGTCGCAAATGATACATCGCTAATGGTAGTCGCCATGATGTGGATACCGAGGTCTGCGGTATCGATATTATGTTAACGTTTCACAATTATAGTAGCTCTTCTTAACGATCTCTTAACCACTGAAGTTCTTGCTGTCCTTGCAGAATGTGCAACCATCGATCAGTTCTCGTGCGGAAACGGCCTGTGTGTTCCTTACTTTGCGAGGTGTGACGGCGTCAACAACTGTGGCGACAACACTGACGAACAACAATGTGGTACGAAAAGGAACATAAACAACACTTCTAAATCAGCCGATCAGAACTTTGAAAAACATTTAACCTTTGCAGCTTTTCTTGTAACTTCTTTTTTAACGTTAGGGTAGACTTAACAAGGCATCATCCAAATTCATTTGCTATACAGGCGGAGTGTTCCTGTACCCTGCCATGTCGGCAGACTCTGCTGTCAACTTCTGGAGTGCTGCAAAGAGTTGTGAGGCTGTTGGAGCTCGTCTGGCCAGGTGGCAAGATCTAACAGAACAGTGGGCCAAGGGACTGGACATCTGCAGGTAGGATATAACGTTACATGTAGTTAACGTTGATAATATACTTTCTCATGTTCAATTATTTTTTAGTTTTTCATCTCATCCAATGGCTTGTCCAGGCAGTCTTGTGTAAACGGTGCAGTCAAGTGACTCCTTGACTTGTTAATCCGTGGAGCATTTCATTAGATATAATTGTGAATCACATTTTCCAGGTCTGGATGGCTCCAAGATGGTGCTACTGCCCGTCCCATTCACACGGAGCGTGAGGACTGTGGTGTTGTTGGAGTCAGTCATGATGCAAACGTGATGTGGAACACCAAGCACGACGCCTGGTGCAAGGCACTCAGCAACAACTTTGGTATGTCAGAACTTAGAAAATTATTTTTTTCTTTTTGATAGAGTTTATACAGTATTTCGCATTATTTTTTTTGTAGAACTCAACAATTTGGTACTAATAAATGCTAACTTCATGGATTATCACTTCTGCCCTACCCCCAGCCTGTGAGTCTGTATCCCAGTACACCTGTAACAACCTGAACTGTGTTCCTAAGTGGGCCATGTGTGACGGGGTGGACAACTGTGGAGACTTCAGCGATGAGCTGCCAGACCGCTGTGGCAAGACAGCTGGCAAACCTAGTAAGAAGAATATATTAGTCTTCGCCTTTGTTTCTGTTAGAAATAATTTTGTCTTTCTCCTCTCAATGTGCTGTTACATGATCTTTTGAATGCTGTTAAATGTTTTGTTTCCTCCAGTAAAATGATGATGTTTTAGTAGTTATCAGTAATCAAGCCTTCTCAAGCCTCAGATGTGAAGATCCTTGTGGAAGATGTTGCTGTCAGTATGTATAATTATATATATTTAACGATAAATGATATATCCTTCCTCAGCCTCAGACCGGCAGGCTCCTGATGACAGTGTCAGTAAGGTGGTTCTGGTGTCAGACGAGCAGGGTGGAGACACCATCACCTTCCTGCAGGCTGCGGGCAGATGTCTGCAGATGGGCATGCAGATTGCAGCATGGGAAGAGCTCCGGGACTCGTGGAAGGCTGGGCTGGACCTCTGCAGGTAAGCTGTTTTTCACACACCACCCAAAGTGGTGAGCCTTTCTGACAAAATGTAGCCTTCCACAACCATGCACTTTCCTGGTTCAAAAGAAAACATTGTGTAAAACTTATTTTTGCAGGAACGGCTGGCTGTTGGATGGAACCATTGCCCACCCCATCCACACTGCCCGAGAGAACTGTGAGGAAGTAGGTGTGAACCATGAGGGGAGCCATGAGTACACTCAGAAGCACAATGTCTGGTGTAAGACTTCAAAGGACTATG